CCCTAGAGCCAGGACAGATTCAGTGTAAGTGAATCTCCTGGGGAGAAGACCTGGGCAGAAGGTTCATGAGTGTTAAATATGCTCTCCTGTCTCTGCTACTATCTTTTTGCTTTAGTGCTGCTTTACCCACCATGCAGTCAAGCAAAGCCAGCATTGATCTTCAGAGAATATAAAAATATGGAGAGTAGTCTGTCAGTTTGCATTTCCATAATCAGTGTCAATATCTCAAGAATTTTCTAGTCTCAAAAAGTAGGCAGATAGTCTATGCTGCGCATTCAAAGGTACTAGGAGAGATTGGTTTATTTCTCAATAGAGCTTCAAGGAAACTGAAAAGGAACTCAGGGAAATGTCAGCAGGCATTGCTCATGGGCAGAATGGGAAATCAATGGGAGAATGAAAATTCTCTGTCCACCAAATCTTTATTCAAACTTGGGGCAAATTTGGGCATGTGCAAGACCTTTTAGGTGTGGGACAGTACATAAGGATATGTTGCTTGTTCCAGAAATGATCCATGTGTATGTGTTGTCACTTAAGAATAAGCACATATTGGATCAAAAAATAAAATTTCTATGTCATAATGGTAAGTTCCCAGTATACCATACAGATTTCAAGTCTCAAATTTTGTGTTCTGAAAAATAAGAGAATAAGGAAAATAATGAGAACTCTGCATTCCTTCATGACTCTAATTAAAGCCTATTAAGGCACATGTGTGAAGAGAGTGGAGGTGAAGATGAGACAATAAGTGTATGCTTAAATATATTAAAGCAACACATTGGAGAGAAGATAAGGAAGAAGGCATATGTGATCTGCAAGTTAGAACTCTTCAGGGAGAGGATAATCTTGTTCTACAGGAAATTCAACTTACCTGGATCTCTAGAATATAATAGAAAAAGTAAGTAAAAGACAATGAATGATTACATGTTTATATGAGCACATGTGAATGAAGCTGAGTGAACACACATGATTGAATGAGTGTTTCTGAGTGTAGTGTCACGTAATAGAGAAGTAGCTAACACAACAAAGAACTATGGGCCAAGACTTTTGTTAAGTGGTTTGCATACATTGTCACATTTAATTCTTATAATAACTCAATCAGATACATATCATTATTAACAGTCTTACTTCACAGAACAGGATATTCGAGTAAAGTAAATACTGTTCCAGATGGCACTATTAGCTGCTTTATTCTGACTCTAAAGTCATCACTCTTAAATTCTGTACAAAGACGAATGCATGTGATATTGTGTGGCTGATGATTAAAGTTGGTCTATTATACATCTCCTAAAGAGGAGAAGTCACTACAGTGGTGTTGCTTTCTATGTGGGCTACAAACAAAGTAAAAAATCTGGACTCCATTCTTAGATTTGGTTTCTTTTTCACAGGAACTAAATCATGAACTGATTATGACTGAAGTAGTTCAGTGATGAAGGGGTAGTTGGAGGCCAGGTCAATAAGAACAGTCTCCTTCTAACTAGTATGCAATGCTAAGCTCTGACCACGAGTACTGTGATGGAAAGGATAGTGATGGTAAAAATATGTATTTCAGGATCACTTCCTGCAGTCCCTTGACATGAGCCATGTCAGAATATCTATAGTTAAACAAGATAAGAGGGTGAATCTTAGCTGGTACACCAACGATAGTGTTTTGCATGGTTTGGCAGAAAGTATAGTCAATGATCTGAAAGTAGGAATGAAACCTAGTCTTTAAGGAGGAGGGTGACATTTAATGAAGATACACATTCAGGCATAATATTTCAAGAGATAACATTCTGGTGACTTATTTTCTTGACCAAAGAGACAGTTGGAAGAGTTCACAAAAGATTCTGTTTTCCATCTTTAAAAGATTCATCTATCCTTGTATTGTATTTATGTGCCCTCCTTCTTCATCCTATCCTTTGGTTCAGAGCCTGACACAATGGCAGATATTTAGCAATACTGACCAAGGGAAGAAAGATCAGGACTTAGATTCAATGTTCTCAAGCCTAGTGGATATGTTTGTCATGGAAGAATTCTGGAAGTGCAAGCTCTGGATATGTCAAAGATGTGCAGCCTGATAGATATATACATCCTGCCAGTGCAGCTGCTGCATCTCTCTCTCTCTCTCTCTCTCTCTCTCTCTCTCTCTCTCTCTCTCTCTCTCTCTCTCTTCCATTGATATATTTCCTGTGACTCCCCAAGCTTCAAGGGATTCATTAGTTCACTTGTTAATATTCAACTAATGTGCATATATTTGATAGGAACCATCCTAGGTATTTGAATCACAGTCAAGGGCAAGGTCTCAAGTTTTTTTAAGATTTCAGCACAAGAAATTTTCATGCAGGGAAGTATGCGTTGGGAAACAAATACTAGTGATACACTTGACCCACTTATTGAAGATAAAAGCATGAATCTTGATTTACCAGGTAAAGGCTGATAGAGCTCTAACAAGAAGATTAAATTCTAGATATAAAAGTGAATAGGACAAGAAAGATTATAACCTGTCTGGACCATAAAAATGGCTTGAATATATTTGGAACATGAAATATCGTGCATCCTTATCTACCCTGCAGCCCTCGACCTTTTTACCCTCTTTTTGGTATTATAATAAAAATACAAAATATAAAAAGCTTTGATACAATATATAAGTATAATGACTACATTATATATTTTCTGGAGGGCCAAGAAAATTCCTTTTCACTCAAAAAAAAGTAGGTTAAGAAATAGGGAGTACAGATTGGTCAGAGATGAAGGGATAACAAGAGACAAGGCTGTAAGCAGAGTCACATGGAGAGAAAACATTCTCTCAGGATTTCACAGAGAGCAAATTTGTCGAGCAATGGCCATGACTCATCCAGATGGCTGAACACTGACAAAGGATCTACAAACTGAGGTACAGGGTATCAGGATAAGTCCTCAGGGGATTTGACTGACCTTATCAGATACAAAGCTACATTTCTTGTTATATAGGTCTTGCTTTGTCTTGGTCTTAACCATCCAGCAGAAAAGCATAAAAATGAAGTATAAAAAGTAAAGCCATATTAATATGCTGAGCTGTAAAAGACTCAAGTCAACAACTTATGACATTGCCAGTCTTATGGAAAACCCACTGCTATTATGGACTACTGGACTATTTTGGAATATTTTGCTGAATTCACACACCTATAATATTTAAATGACAAAACTGAACAAAAAAAGGGGATACAAATGAAGGACCATTTTGTATTTGTATATTCAAAGTAGGACAGATATACAGCTACTTTCTCTTAATTTAATGAATAGAAAGATTTGTTCTAATAGTGCTTGTAGACAGGATATCATGTCTGCATCTTGTACAATGAATAACCATTACGGCAACAATATGCAATGTATTAAAGGTTGAAACTGTCCTACTAATTGGATTTGAAACTATCTCATTGCTATTTGTTTCTCAATAAAATTATGGAAAAAGAAACAAGAGACAAGGCTGGAGTAATAAATGAATATTGAAGTTTGAAGTGCATCCTGTGTACGGTAACTAAAACATTTGCACTTAATTCATGTATGTGAAGTCAAAGCTAGAATCTAAGAAATTTTTTAAACCTCTATTTTGATTCAAATATTTCCATGGAAGTCAAGGCCAATTATCTGTAGCATTTTTATCATGAATGGATGTTGGACTTTGTCAAATGCTTTTCCAGCATCTATTAAGATGGTCAAGTAATTTTTGTTGTGGATTATGTGAATATTGTGTAATATATTTGGTGATATACATGTGCTGAGTCATCCCTGTTTTCCTGGTTTGGAACATATTTGGTCATGGTGAACAATTTTTTGATGATATGCTACATTCTGTTTGCAAGTATCTTATTGAGGATTTTTGCATCTATGTTCATTAGGAACATTGGCTTGTAGTTTTTTTTTGGGGGGGGGTTGGATCCTTCTCTGGTTTTGATATCAGGGTAATACTTGCTTCTGGGAATGATTTTGGGAGTATTGCTTACCTATCAATTTCATTAAAGAGTTTCTGTATTAGTGGCATTAGATCATCTCTAAACTTCTTATAAAATTCAACAATGAATCCAACAGGACCCAGACCTTTTTTTTGTTTGTAAATTTTTAATTAGATTTTCAATTTCATTAATTGCTATCAGGTTATTTATAATTTTTAAATCTTGACTCAGCTTTGGAATTCATACATATCTAAGAATCTGTCCATTTCTTCTGTGTTTTCCAATTCATTAGAATAGAGGTTCTTTTTTACATTTTAATAATTTTATTGAGAAAGAAGTAGCAATGAGGTAGTTTCAAAAATGGTTAGTAGAACAGTTACAATAATTAATACATTGCATATTGTCTTTGTAGTAGTTATTCTTAGAACAAGATGTAGACATGATATCTTGTCTAAACACTATTAGTTCAAAACCTTCTCATTGAACTAAGAGAAAGTAGCTGTATATTTATGCTATTTTGTATACACACACACACACACACAC